TTGGCAAAGGGAACATTGAGAAGTGATTGCATATATGTACATGCATCAGGAGCAATTCTCTGTACTTTCTTTAGCAAAAAAGGATCACTCTTTCTCGAGGCTAACAGGGATAGAAAGCGACGTGGCCACTTGCAGCCTTCAGCACTTGCAGATGTTCTTAAATAACGCCCCTGGCTCACCAGTCTTTTCAACATGGAGTGCTAACAGCTTGCTTCTCTGGCTCCTGTGCACTCTTTCTATGACACCTTTGTCCCACGAAAGCAGGCTCGACTCTTTCTTTTTGCTTGCCTCGCCTTAGCCTCATTCACACCTCACAAAACCACCCAATAGCTCTATCGGACAAATCTTGCCTTTCAAGAGGAGTAGCAAGGGCAAGAAAACCAGCTCATTTTTACGGCCTGAGCTTTATTAATTAAATGTGTCTGCCTGTGATCAGGAGGACTTGATTCAGTGACCCAGCTGGATCCCTTCTGTACCCGTAGTCTTAAGTTCAAGGAAAAGCTTGGTCATCAGAGCAAGGTATAGCACAAAGTGAGGTTAAAATGCACTGGCATGTTTTGTGGGCTCTTCTCCACCTTGCTTGCCAATCACTTTCCATTGCTCACTTGTCCTCCACCTTTTTCAACTCATTTGCTAAATTATCTCTTGCCTGCATCTCTTCATTCTTTCCAGTTTGATGTTCATTAGGCCAGTAATTACTCTTAATTCAGTGTTTATGAACTGCCGCTGGTATTTATAAACCTTGGTGCCAGCAGTTCGACAGTTGTTCTTAGATGTCCGAGAGAAAGTCAAAGCTGTTGACGTAAGTAGGAGTCATGAACTCTGAATGTACAAAAATCCTGCACTGCAGTTTGCACACTGTAGTGAGTGGTAAGGAGGAGATATCTGTTAGGCTTTCAGCCAGTTGGTTATTCACATGGCTCATTTGGGGGAGGAGAATAGCTTTAAAGTCTGTTTTTCCCTGCAGCAGCTGCAGCCATGCTGATGACAAAACAGGGCAGTTTACACCAGCTGGCAGCGGCAAAGCTCAGCCTCCTGGTTAGTCACGTTGGCTCTCCAGTGCCTCAGCCACCCAAGTCTGCAAGCTGAGAAGAGGTCACAAATGGCGAGGGAGACAAAAAAGGATGTATATGTGGGCCGATATTAAAAAATAAGGGAATAATCCCTAGATCATGCTCTAATTTAATTATCATCTTTAGTTAGGTTCACTGCAAAAATATAACAAAAAATGTCCTTGAATTGCCCACCTTTGAATTTGCCCACTGATACGTTTCTGTTCCTCGCCTTTTGTTCTCACCATGCTCATGTGTCGCAGCACCTCGTGATGTTCTCAAACGTTGGCATCTGGTGGGGCAAACCATGCCCAGTGGGCCAAATGATCCCTAGGTGCGAAAGCACAGCCCCATTGGCAACTTCGTGGCTATGTTAGGAGTATACAGAGTAGGATTTAGCTTGCCAAGCAGAAACAAAAAGAAGGTAGTTGAGAGTTTTCATCCTAGCCCATTCCTCTGGTAATCTAAAACCAACACTAAATATCATAGGAGTCTCAGTAATATCTTAAGAGCTGGTAATCTGCAATAATAATGAAACAACGTGGCTTATAAAGAACAAAAGTATGTAAGATTTTTCATATACATTTATACTGTCTCTTTTTATGTAGGTGTATTCACGCTTAAGTGATCAAAATTGGTGTATAATAACTGTATTACAGACTGAATTATGTAACAACTTTTGTGATTTCAAGTTAGGCCTAGGTTTAAACGTTAAGAAAGTTTCTGAGCTAGCTACTTAAAACTTTTGCTGTAGTGCAAGTCAGATTAAGCCACAGTTAATACAAAGTATCGCATACATAGTTTTTTTGTTACAATTTTAATTTTATTTACAAACATGAGCTTTCAGAAAAGCATCTTGTATAGCAGCATTTAAATATCGGACAGATACAAACATATAACTTCTTGTAACGAGATTGACTTTAAGAAAAACTGAAGTAATGAAGTAAGTAATAATAATCTCATACTTAAAGTTGCTTTTAAGAAGGAACATTAGGGAACAAGGCAGAAGTAGTACTTTTTTCCAGATAGTTGTCTGGGGCTAAATCAGCTGACTAGATGGTTCAGTTTCGCTTAAATCAAATACTAGATTATCCCTAATGTTCAGGTACGCATTGAATACCATCACATGTAAGTGGTGATTTTAAGAAGTACACTCAGAAACAATTAAATGTTTTGAACAATTTCTAAGTTGCTCTACATTTGTCTCATGCAGGCCATTGTTCATTGTCAACAGTCTTTGCTTTGATAAGTAAAAGGTGTTTTCTTTACCATACATGAAGAAATAATAAGCAGTCCAAATGTAGCCAGTATTACTGAGGCACCTGAACTGTGCAAGTAGGAAGTCATACTGTACATCTGTAAATGCACTGCCCTTCCAGAAGGGGTTGTCGCATCAGCTTACTGAACATACTTTAATAGTTGTTTTTTTTTTTTAATGAAGTTCTTTAACATAAAAAAAAAAATGCAGCTGAAGGGTAGTTATAATCACTCACTGTTCTTTTACTCAGAGGTGGTTCACAGCTAAGACATAAATTAAAATTTAAGACCAGCTTTCCCTTGAGTCATCACTCATTTGGGGAGTGCTTTCTTTTCAAGAGCCCAGTTATCCATCAGTGCTACTGTTATGGCTGCACAGCTCCTGGAGTTTCTACAGCCCTCCCATTTTTCAGTGTAACTCAGTCACTTTTCTAGAGTTAGTGAACATGGTAACATAAGAAACATGGAAAAATGGGAAATTTAACTGTGACTTTTGGAGCCGCTCTGTAGCTGTAGGCCCACTGAACTGTTCATGGTCTCTTAAGGAAGCCTGTCGTACCTGTTGTCCAGGGCTGTGGTTAGCCAGAGTTGAGTAGGAAAGACAGCTACCTTTCTGGAAAAGCACGTCGCAAGACCCAGGAAGTGTCCTGTCTCTGACACTGCAATACAAGAAAGCACAAGCTAAGAAACTGCAGCAGTTAGGTCTTTAAATAAATAATCTTGGATTCCCCTATTTCACCTGACCAAACAAAGTAAGCACATTTTTAAACAACTCTCTTCACCCGTCTTTCTCCTTCCTGCTCCTTCCTTGCAGGGTCAGGCATCTCTCCAGCTTTGATTTTTAGTCCAGCTGCTTTCAGTGTCTCTCAGCACCTATTAATCCTACATGGTATTTCATGAGTGAGGAGGAACGCCTCTTTCTCTACATGACCTCTGAAGTTTGTCTCTGGGTCTGTCCCCTGACACAAGCAGCCACCACGTCCTCTCGGGACTATCCCAGGTCACACTTGTGCCCCATAGTCCCCCCCACGCCCATCTCTGGGTTTCCTCCCCCTGCCCATATGCGGGTTGTGCTTTCTTCCTTTTGGAGGGCAGCAGCCAGGATAAGAGGGAAGGCAGGTAGCCTACCTTTCTGCTCTCCTCTCCTTTCTTGTCTCTTTTTGGCACAAAATGTAACCCTGGTGGGTTGATCTTGGCCGGCTGCCAGACACCTACCAGCCACTCTTGCACTCCCTCTCCTCAACAGGACAGGGGGAGAAAATAAGGTGGGAGAGCTCATGGGTCGAGATACAGACAGGGAGATTGCTTACCCATTACCATCACAGGCAAAACGGACTCAACGTGGGGAAAATCAATTTAATTTATTGCTAATTAAAAGTAGATTAGGATGGTGAGAACCACCCCTGAAATGCCTTTTCCCAGGCTCAACCTCCCTCCTTCATTCCCAGCTCCTCTCCCTCTCCCTCCCAGAGCAGCGCAGGGGGATGGGGAACGGGGGTTTGTGGTCGGTCCCTAACAGCTCCTCTCCGCCACTCCTTCCTCCTCACGCTTTTCCCTGCTCCGGCGTGGGTGCCCCACGAGCTGCAGTTCCCGTCGGGAGAGCCCGATCCACGGTGGTCTCTCCGTGGGCTGCAGGGGAATGAGTCTCTGCTCCACCGCGGAGCACCTCCTCCCCTCCTTCTCCTCTCCCCTCCGTGTCTGCAGGGCTGTTTCTCGCACGTTCTTCCTCTCTCTGCCCCTGTGACTTTTTTTGGCCCTTTTTTAAACCTGTTTTCCCCGGGGCACCCCGGCCTTGTCTGGGGGGCTGAGCGGTGCCCTGGGGCGGGCGGGTCGGAGCCGGCTGGAACCGGCTGG